CACAAACTCCCGCGCTATAAGGGGGCCTCCCCGAGAGCCATCCAGTCAGGGACACTTGAGCCCACAACGGTTCCCTGGTCAGGACGAGAGGGGGAGGCCAGCAGGAAGAGCCAGGGGCTGCCCAGCAGCCTGGTCACCATTCTCGGGTCCCCCTGTAACTCCACCGCCGCCGCAGAGCCAAACCAGAGGAACAGGGAAGAGGAAGGAAGTGTGGGGCGGCCGGTGGGCGCCGCCCCCGGGAAGTGCCCGCGGTCCCTCTGTGGGGAGGGATGCGGGGGGCAGCGGGGGGCACGTCCCGGAACGCAGGCGGGATCAGAACGTGCCTGCACCGTAAGGGCACTCAAGGGCAGGCAGGGGATGGGGCAGCCTCCGGTGTCCGTTGCACCCCGGGGCTGGTCTCCCAGTGACCCAGATGACCCGGGTCCGCGCCCGCTCCCCTCTCAGCGGCGCCCCCAGCCCAGCCCGGGCTGCGGCCAAAGCTTCGGGGGGCGCCGGTGTGGTAGGGGTGGGGGACAGCCCCCGGCGGCGAGACGCGCTGCCCGCCGGGCCCGGGCTCCGGTGGGGGTCCAGGCCGCGCCCCCGGCCCAGCCCGGCCCTGCCGGCCGGACTCACCTCCGCAACCTGGCGGCGCCTCCTCAGTTCCCGCCGCCCGGGCGGCGCGGCCCCGGGCCTGCTCGCCTGCGCCGGCCGGTCCACAACTTCTGCCGCCGGCCTCCCGCGCTGAGTGGCGGAGCAGCAGCGCGCCCGGCCCGGCCCGGCCCCGACCCGGCCCGCGTCCGGCGCCCGCGCTACGCCGCCTCCGTAGCGTAGCGCCCGGCCGGGGCCCCGCGGCTACGGCGCGCCTGAGGCGCACACGGCGCTGTGAATCGCGCGCGCGGACTACCGCTCCCACAGGGCCGCGCGACGCCGCCAGGCCGGAAGCTCGGGGCGGTGCCCGGCGCGCGGTGCGGACCGGGAGTTGTAGTCCTCGGGTGTCGGGCAACTGCCGCAGCGATCGGCTCCCTCCAGGGGCCCGCCGACTTCCCGGGCCGCCCTGCCCACCAGCACCGCTGGGGATGGCCGAACCCCGGGGCCCGGGCGGTGCCGCGTGTCGGGTCTGGCTCCGAGTGGCGGAAGGGATGCTTCGAGGACAGAACTGCGACTACTACTCCCAGAATATCCTGCGCGGGAGGAAGGGGCGGGTCCGCCAGACCGCCCCCGTCTCTGCGCTTCCTGTCCCCCACCCTCGGAGGCCGAGGTGCGGGGCTCTGGCCGGTTCTCCCGGCTGTCTGGACGAGACCCCGACTCTGCCCTGGCCCCCCCGTGTCCACGGGGCCCGCAGACCTCCGTAGCGCCCTGCCTGGGTCTCCTGAGCCCCCCTTGCCTCCCGCCCTCCAGCTGCCCCAGACCCTCTCTGCCCCTCTTCAAGGCTTCGTGGTCCACAGCTCCAGTTTTGGTGGGACCGACCTGGGTGGAGACGAGGCCTTGGCACTCACAACGGGACGCGGTCACATTACTTCTGTGGGCCTCGGTGTCCTCCTCGGTAAAAGAGGACGAAATGAGATACCATCCACGGAGCGCTCATCCCGGCGCCTGGCAGGAAGACCCCTAAACCTGGGAAGGCGGTGTTGCTCCGCCGGGGCCTCTGAACAGGACCCCCAGTCGCCAAATTCACAGAAGAGCCTCCTAGGTCCAGTGTCTCCCGTTAGGTTCCCTTTGGGCAGCTTGAGGTCACTCATAACCAGCAGTCACGAAACTGGAGGCGGGACTCTGCAGCAGGACATGCAGGAAGGCAGTTTATCAGATGCAAGTGAAGCACAGGGAGGCTGTAGAGCGGGAAGAGGGGAGGCATTCGGGGGTACTTGGGGAGCCTGGGGAGGCACTGGTCATGCGGGAAACGCAGAAGCAAGGCATGTCAGCTAAGAGGGATTCAGGGAGAGTGGCTGTGGCCCAATTCTGCCTCCAGACTGGGTCATGTCCCAGTGCCCACAAAGTCAGCTAACCTCAGTAGGACCTACGGGCACAGGGCTCAGCGCTCCCAGGAGACCAAGCCCCAGGAAAACCTGTCTCACTCTCCAGATGCTGCAGCAGGGATGGAGCTGCTTCCTGAGGGCTCTAAGCAGCAAGCTTGTGGGGACAGAGAGCTGTTGAGTGACTTGGCCTGCCCCGCGCTTCCTCACCTGCATGAATGTGACGTGTGGCCTCTGACCTCTTGTGGCTGTGGAGTCACATGAGGGGAGTCAAGGGCCATCTCCTGGTGGGGGGGGGGGCTCAGCAACCACAGCTCCAATGGACACTGGCTGGGGTGGCTGTTGGACTGGTGTCCACAGCCCTGTAACCTCCCAACAAGAGAAGCAGCTGAAACTGAGCTGAGATCCCGGTCTGCTCACTGCAGTTTTTCAGAGCCACGGCCTACATGGGGGTGAGCATTCTTGCCCGCCCCAGGAAGGGGCCAAGGCCTCTTGTGGGGGGAGAAAGCCAAGTCACTACAAGAAGGCCTCAGGAGGCGTCTTCAGGACTGGAGTTGCTCCGTGTCCAAGAGGAGGGAGCTGACCAAGGGTTGGGAAGGGCCAGACACAAAGCCCTGTGTGTTGGTTCGAACGTCCCTGTGTGCCTGTGTTGTTCTCCACTTTGGGACCCAAAGGGCCCAATCATGGAGTAGAGATTCTAATGGGATTTGGGCTCAGGGACCCTCAGGGGTGGAACATGCATGCTTGAGCCAAGGTGGGTCAAGTGCAGGACACCTTTGTGCTGAGAGCTATGCAACCTGCGCTCTGGCCAATTTTAAGGAATGACCCATCATTGCCTGCTTTGCGAAATGCCCCTTGCCCCCCATGCCTGGCTTAAACAGGACAGCAAATGCCCACATAAGGTAAAAAGTAAGGGCCCTTCCCAGGGCCTCCATCTGCAGGTCTCTGAACTGCCAGCAGGTGGAGGGGCAGGTGCTGGGGCAGCCAGGCTGGGAGCAAACATGGGCACCCTTCCTTCAGCATGGCTTGGTTGGAGCAGGGCCGAGGCAAGGGGCTGGGTGGTGCTCGAGGGACAGTTGAACCACAAGAGCCATGTACCCACGCACCAGTAGCCCTCTTCCTTGCTTTGTGCTCCTCCATCATGCAGGACTGACCAAGACTTGGAAGGTTCAAGCAGTCCTCTACCAACATGAGCTGACCTGAGACAGGATTAGCCCTGGGTGGCCCTTCCTGGCTGGCAATGGGCACTGCTGTCTCCATATATTGTGGATTTCCAAGTGTTCTCTGGCCCCACCGTGTTCCAGTGGATAACTGTGTCTCCCCGTTGGGCTGGGGACCCTGGGAGGGCCAGGGCAGGGATCTCAGAATCGGCCGCTAGTGGGACCAGACCATGGATAGGCCCCCACATGTTCAAGAGCATAAATGAAACACTTGATGGAGCTAGGCCCCCTCCCCACTTTCAGCTTCTCCTAAGGCAGAGATGGGCCCCGCAGGCTCCAGATGGGCAGACGGGGTAGGTGGAAAACAGGTGTCACCAAGTGCGCCCAGGCTAGGGCCCAGGCTCTCCTGGACCCTCACTGACCTGAACTTGCCACAGCAGCACTTTGGCACCCCTAGGGCTGAGCAAGCCCTATGTGCAGAGCTCCAACAGGAGTCTGGGGTTGAAGCCTGCACCCCAAGCCACAGCACAACGCCATCCATCCTGGGGCCACGAGTTCTGCTGGTCCCACCTGTGGGCAGCTGGGCACAAGTCCCACTGATGGGCTTGCTAACGAGAGTGCATTGGTCTGCCTGTTTAGGGAAGTACCTGCTTGGAGCATCAGGAGCACAGGTAGGATCCTGGACCTTTACATACTCTCCAGACCCCGAAAACTAGCCGGGAGGTGGCTCTGGGCAGGCAGTTGGCCTTGGACACGTCCGCACCCCAAGAGCCCCCCGGGTTCCTGCTTCACTGCAACCTACACAGAACCAGGTCTCCCAGGCCTGACCTTGGTGACCCTTTGGAGTTCTGGGGCCCCTGCTCACCACAAGCCAGGCCGTGTCCACTCACCACTGCCCTCAGGTTGGCCCCATAGGCCAGCATACCTGGGCTCAAGCCCCTTCAGTGCCCTGCTGGGTGGCTAGGGGGTGGGGTCCTTGGCCTTCTGTGGGCCTCAGTTGGTCCATTTTTCTCTGACATGCAGTTAGCTAGCTCAGTCTGAGGAAGGTGGTAAATGCATGGTTTGCTGCTCCCGTGGATGCCTGGGCTGGGGAATCAAGTTTGGGGGCTTTGGCTAACAACTCCCACTTCAAATTACATATGCCCACTTACCCACAGAACCTTCTCACGGTCCTCCCCGTGACGATAGTGGTAAGTGAGCTCTCCTCCCCAGCCTGGCCACCCAGCCCAACCTTCTTCCTCATCTTCGAGCCAAATCCTGCCAGAGCATGTGCTTTCAGTTTGGGTAATCTGCATGACCCCCACAGGCCTTTTCATCATCCCTGATTACACGTCCCACTGGGACATCAACAAGTCCCAGACCTGGGATGCACCCCCTCAGCCCAGCCTGCACTCGGCTATGTCCTACCGTGAACACCCGTGACCCCAAGGCCCCATCACATGGCCCCACCCCAGGAGGGCCCCTCGGCTGAGCTCTGCTGAGGGTCCAGGCTGGAGGTGCAACCCTGGGACCTCCGGGAGGGGTCAGCTTGACCAGGTCTCCTGCAGAGCTCACATGGTACACGGCCCCCCAGTATGTTGGGGGGCCGGGCCCATGGCACCCCACCCAGCCCCCAGACCCCACGGAGGAAGAGGCCGGCCTCTGTGTGTATAGACAGCTTTAATCTTCAGCGAGACTGTCCTGGACTTGCCCTTCAGCATCCGGGCCACCACTGCTCTGCCTGAAGAGTCTTTCTCAAGGGGAAGGGAACAGGGTCACTGTGCAAGTAGAAGGCCTGGGTGTCTGTGTGAAACATCTCCCGGCAATTCATATTTACAGTTACAGGACCGCTGAGTAATGGACAGAAACAGACCCACGTCTGTGTCACCAGGGCAGGGCTGGGCACAGAAAGCAGAGTTCCAGTATTTATTATCATACATATATATATTTTATGTGTATACACAGATAGTTTTCTCTCTTGGAAGTATTAAAAAATTGATCAACCTTCAATCTATAAAAAATACCTACTCTACATGATAGAAAAATCTCTCCTCCAAGTTTACACTGATTTACACCCAAGGCTTTCCCCAAAATGTACAATACGAGGCAACGTCTTAAATCTTAGTGTAGAAGGTGGGCCACATGGAGGATGGAGGGACGCAGGGCAACACGCACGCACGCGCACACACACGCACACACACACAGCAGTGGCCAGTCTGTGTGCGGGGTCTTGACCCACCCGGGAGCACCCAGGGGCTCCTGGCCGGTGCTCAGGCTCAGGGTGGGGGCAGGCCCAGCAGCCCCCACAGTGGTGTGGTGCCTGGCAGTGGGGGCACAGAGCCAGGCAAGGAGCCCCCACACTGCTGGGAGGGCCTTGTTCTCTGCTCTTGATCTGTGTACTGAGAGAACCTGCAAAACCCAGCTCGGGGAAGGATGGCCACTTCAACGACTTCAAACTCCCAGAGGAAACGTGCTTCCAGACACGTGGACTCTGCCTAGGAAACCGGGACTCACCTGGGGCAGCTGAGATCTGCCCAGGGAGGGGGGCTCCAGGAGGCCAGGAGGCCACACGGACGGGGAGGCAGTTTCTCACCAGGATGCTGCCTGCACCTGGGGTCAGCCAGTGACGTCCACCCTGTCCGGAAAGCATACTCCACGTGGGGAGCCTCTCAAGTCCTGATTTCAGAGGGGAGGCTCCTGCCCCAGCCACCACGGGAAGATCTGAGGCTGGACTGAAGTGCCCCCTCTGGATGGGTGACGGCCCCAGGAAAGCTGGGACCCCCACAGCTCCTAGCCAGACCCTTACACACACCACCTCGCCTGCCTGTACTTCCCACATCACCACGTCTGGCGAGAGGGTCCTGGGGCCTCTGTGCCATGCGGGTGAGAGCCCCTGAGCAGATGCACACGGCAGCACCCCGGTGGGGATGTATCCTTCCTTTCCTGATGGGTAGGGCTGCAGAGGGGTCTGCCACACGGGAGGGAGCTCCCAGAAGGGCTCACCTGAGCCTGAGACGTAGTCTCCGCATCTCTGCAGAGAGCAGGCCCGGCCCCACCCTCCCAAGTGGGCCCCCGGTCCCAGGGCTCCCGTTCCTTCTCCCTCTGCAGACCCGTTGTTGCACCCTAGCCCAGCCGCTGGTCTGGGCCGTGCGCACGCTGTGGCCATCTCCTGGGTGCAGGTGGGGTCCTGGGCCCACCAGGCTGGGCCTTCCTGCCTCTATTTGACCTCCAGAATGGATGGGTTGGTCTCCATGATGGCCACGATGATCCGGTCAATGTAATCCTGCAGGCGGAAGTTTATCTCCTCCTGCTTCTGAATTGCATCCATGAGCTGCGGGAAGAGTGGCGTCAGTGCCGGCTTGGTGCACACACTGGGACACATCTGGGTGGCAGGGCCTGGATGGGCCTTACCTCATCTCGGGAGACGGAGCTGATCTCTGCAGCCAGGGACTCCGAGAAGGACGTGGAGAAGAGGTTCTTGGCGCCCTGGATGCTCAGGTTGATGATCTGCCCGTTGAGCTCATCATTTTGCTCCTTCAGGTTTCGGTTATCCTGGGTGGGGGACACAACAGCAGCGTCCTTCTTGGGGCCATGACCCCACTGGTGGCTGAGCCTGCACAGGGACTGGCCAGAGTGGCTTCTGGCTCAGGCACCAGCCACCCGCCCCCTCGCATGTGCCCCGCCCCACGCTGGGCTCCTGGAAGTTTCTGCAGGGTACAGGGGTGTGTCTGCCCGCACCTGCTTCAGCCTGCGGACCTCCTGCTCCAACTCGCTCTCGCGGGTGCGGCTGTTGTACTCCTGCAGGCCCATGCTGCTGCCCCGGCCCTTCCGCTGCTCGGCCTCCAGCTTGAAAAGCTGTAGGTGCTCCAGCTGCTTGCGCAGGTCCTCGATCAGCTGCGGGCAACCTCGGGGTGAACAGGGCTCCAGGCACCCAGGCGGCAAGGACTAGCTCAGCCCTCAGCTTCGGAACCTTTGGGTCAGTCTGAGCGCCATTTCCAAGTAGGATGACAAACCCCTCACGCCCAGCAGCCCTGCCCAGCACGGCACTACACGGTTGCCGGCCTCGGGTCTTAGGACACAGAGGGCGACATGCTCACCTCCTGGGTTGCCTCCTTGTCCCTCTGGAACTGGTGCCTCTCGTGGCTCAGCCTGTCGCCCAGCTTCCTCCTGTTTTCCTGCTCATCACTGAGCCGCAGGGACAACTCTTCAATCTCATCCAGCAACTTCTGCTTCTCCTGTGGAAGCAGGAGACTTGCTGCGGACATGCCTGCCTGCCGCCCCGTTCACACAGCTTTCCTGGCTCCGTCCATAAAGGCTGCGTCTAAGCCACCCCATCACGGCAGAGGTGCACACACCTCTGGGGCCATGCTGACCCTGACCACCATGCAGGCAGGCGGGCCTGCGGTGCTCCGGAACGGGCTGGCTGCACAGGACACAGGGACGGCTTCTCAGGGGAGGCAGGGCAGGGACGACCTATGCAAGAGCAGGATCTGACCCACAGCTGCTCCACGGGAACTGCTCACGGGAGCCAGAGCCCATGTGGTCTTGGATGTCCTCAGGGTTCAGAGCTTCCCAGGGACACTTGGCAGGGAGGGGAGGATGGGGATGGGGAGGTCTCTCCAGTGAACACCTGCAGGACAGGGCAGGAGGGGTCCAGCTGAAGTTGGCCCTGAATTCAGCCACAGGTTCATCTCAGCTGAACCTCTGGACCCAAGGATCCTGTGTCTGTGGGAAAGCTGGGAAGCCAGGCAGGGACCAACATCTTCCAACAAAGTGACAGCCAGGCCCAAGCTGTCCTTGTCCCCATGCCATGGGACCTGTGGGGACTGTCCCATCAGTTTGCTCTCTAGAGCAGCACGGCTTCCTGGCCTGTGGTCACACCCTTGGCTGGCTGTGTGGCTGTCCCGCTTTAGAGAACCCCTCAGTTGCAGACGGTGGAGGAACGTGCTCAAGCTAGCCTGGCTGATCTCGTTCCCACATATTACAGGGCTGGGCCCCATGTGCTCAGTGCTCCCAGCTGACCACTCACCTCCTCCAGGCGCTCAATGTTGGCCTTCAGACAGGGCGTGCATGACCTCAGCTCCCCATTCTCCTCGTCCAGCTGCTGCAGCCTGAGACACAAGAACAAGGCTGGGACCTCATACCCAGGAAATGTGCTTCCTTGAGGCAAGGGAGGCCCACTGTCTCGGCAGCCCCGCCAGGAGTCACCCGGGACCTACAGAGGCTCCCCAAGACACCCCAGTCCTTACGCACCACTCGAGTACTCTAGACCCCAACTTTTCCATAAGCCAGGACGGTTATTAAATACACTTTCGGTCTGGGGATACTTGTGGGTTTACAAAACAGTTGTAGACATAGTGCGGAGTCCCTGTGGACCCCGGCCCCATACAGCTTCCCGCATGGCATCTGCTCATCACTGTGGTGCCTTTGCCATAGCCCACACAGCCACACTGGGATATACCAGTCACCAAACCACAGACTTCATTTGATTTCCCACCAGTGCCCCTTCCCACCCCAGGACCCCTCCCGGGGCCACACTGCACTTTGCTGCCTCGTCTTTGTCCCCTCTGGTCTGTGGCAGTCTAGAGGCCTTTCCCGGCTTTTCATGACCTTGGTCGTTTTGAGCAGTTCTGGTCCCATATTTGGTCCGATGCCACTCACACTGGGTTTGTCTGGTGTTTCTCGGGATGAGATGGGTCACAGAGGTGAGGTGCCCTTGTTACCAGATCAGGTGCCCGAGTCCACATGACTCGCCGCGGGCGATGCCGACCTGGGTCACCTGGTGAAGGTGTGTTTCCAGGTGTCTCCCATGCGTTCCCTGTCCTCTGGAAGCCCGTCACCGGGCCCGGCCCGCGCCCCAGGGGAGGGAGGACTCAGCGCCACCCCCGGAGGGGCATCTCCACATATCTTTGGGAATTCCTCTGTGAGGAAGCTTCGTGTCTTGGCTCCACGTCTTCGCCAGTCCTCACACTGAGTTGGGCTCTGGGTTGTGTCCAATAGTATCATTGTTACTGTGCTACTCAAAGTGGTCCAGCTTTGACCATCAGGAGCCCTGTCAGCTGCCCCATCACTGTGCAGATACGTGCTTTTGTCTGAGCACTTCCCTACTGTCTGACCCGATGAGATGCTGCAGGGCTCCGCTGGCTTCTCCCCCATCCCAGCCACAAACTCAGCCCCTTCTCCAAGGAGCACCTTCTCCTTTCCACAGTCCTGTCCGCCCTGCCGCCTTCAGCAGTCCCCTGTACTGAGTTAAGGGTCTTCCTGTGCGCTGCAGTGGGCTGGGGCCACACCACGGAGGCCCCTGGCCTGGGCTGACCTCAGGGCGCTGACCTGCCCCCCTCCGCCCCCAGGTAACTGCAGGAGGCTGACAGGATCCAGCCACACGGAGCAGGCAGCAGGTCTGCTCAGAAGCACTGACGTGGAGTCCTGCCCTGTCCCCCGAGGGCTTCACGACACCTGGTGTACGTCACCCCCTCCAGGCTGCTGTCCTGCTCAGAGCCGCAGGGGAGAGGCTCCAGCACACAGAGATGAGGAACACACTGAACCACACTGTGCTGAGGCCCAGGAAAGAAGGTCCCCCGGCTGCCCAGGCCGGGCTGTCCCCAGAGTAGCATCCACGGCATCTGCCTGCAGGTGGCCTCTTCCCTTCCCCGCTGGGAGACGTGCGGGCTTACTCTAGCCCAACAGCACCCTGTGCTGCCCCTCCAGCTGCGAGCCTGCGTGGGGGCTGATGTCAGTCTCCAGCTTCTACTGCATGTTTCCTGCAGGGTGTGCACACCCATGTGCTGTTTTTCCCCACTTCTCTTAACGCTTCAAAGGCTCCTAACTCCAGATAAGCAGAAAGGGACTCCTGTCCAGTCTCAACAAGGACCGGTGTTCTGATGGGGAGAACGTGGAGAGCAGAGAGACTCAAAATGACATCGTGCAGGGTCTGTGTTCGAATTCTGATCTTGAGCAGTGTTACAACTCTCCTCAGTGGGTTTCCCCCTTTCTCTAAAAGCAGCTCCAGGGGCGCCTGGGTGGCTCAGTCGTTAAGCGTCTGCCTTCGGCTCAGGTCATGATCCCAGGGTCCTGGGATCGAGCCCCACATCAGGCACCTGGCTCAGTGGGGAGCCTGCTTCTCCCTCTCCCTCTGCCCCTCCCCCTGCTCATGCTCTCTCTCTCTGTGTGTCTCAAATGAATAAATAAAATCCTTAAAAATAAATAAATAAATAAATAAATAAATAAATGAATAAAGCAAGCAAGCAAGCAAGCAAGCAAGCAGCTCCATTCCCAGAGAGTGGACCGCCTGGGTGAGGCAGCTGCTGAGGCGGAGCGCCCCACCTGGCCTGCAGGCTCTCCACCTCGATGCTCCGCTCCCGCTCCATTTTGCACACGAGCTCTCGGTGCCTCCGGGCCTCCTCCAGCGCCATCTCACAGGCTCTCAGCTCCTGCTCCTTCAGCTGCTCCTCGAGGGCATTGGCTCTGTGGAGGTGAAGGGGAGGAGGTAAGAGGCCTTCTGCTCTTGGCCCCAGCGCCTACCTGGAGGAGGGGCAGCAGAGGTGGTGAGACTCCCATCCACAGCTCTGCTCAAGACGGTTCTGAAGCAGAGGCTGTGCCCCCAAGACCACCTCTGCTTCCCACACTGGCACCCAGGGCCTCAGAACCGTGGTCTCCGTTGCTTTCAGGCTGCTCATCCCCATCCCAGTGTGTGGGCAGGAGCCCTCCCAGGGGCACAAGCCCACCAGGCGCCCGCCCCCAGGAGGACCCTGCAACAACACCTCAGGCTGCACACACAGGTTGCCCATGGCAGAGGCAAGGGCAAGTGTTAGCTAGGAGGCAGACAAAGGGAATGTTCACATGGGGGCCCTGACCCTGGCACCTTCCAGACCACCACACCCACCTGCAGGAGACAGGAAATGACCATCCCAAAGAGAAGGGCTCCAGGCCCTGCCCACAGAGCCCATGCCCCCGAGCTGTCCACGCACACAGGGCTTCTCAACCTCTTTTTGGTGCCTCACACCTAAGAGTGAACAGAGTACCAAAGATCACCAGACTCCGTAGGAAAGGTGTCGACACAAAGCGGCCAAAGCCATCAGAGAAAAAGGACCCCACACAGGAGAAAGCCCTGTAATTCACACCTCAGAGCGAAGATACCACTTCCAGGGAAATAGGAGCAGAACATCTGAAGGAGATTTAGAAAGTGATTCTTAGAAACTGAAAACATGAGAAGAAAAAATTTTAAATTTGGTAAGAGTTGAAGGAGAAAACCAAGAATATTACATTTTTAAAAAGAGGAAAATGGGATGCCTGGGCAGCTCAGTCAGTTAAGCGTCCAACTCTTGAGCTAAAAGCCCAGGTCGTGAGATCGAGCCCTGTGTCAGGCTCCGCGCTGGGTGTGGAGTCCACTTAAAAAGAGGGAAATGATGGAATTAGAGAACAGGAAAGTAAAGAAAATGAGAAGAAACTTCCAGAAGGTCTAACATATTTGATGAACAGAAGTTCAGACAGATAAAGAAAAAGAACAAACCGTACAGAGAAATAATTCTAAAAACCTTCCCGAAGCTGAGGGTTATCTTTGAGATTTAAAGGTTGGAACCCATGTGCCAGCACAGGAAACAAGGCCAGGGTGAGAGCCCAGAACCCACAGAGGGCACCAGCGCCTGCCTGCCAGTTTCCCAGGAACCCTGCCTCCAGCTACGGTTCCAGACCGAGCCACACTATCAGTGGACAGACACACTCCAGACACACGTGGCCTCGCAGAACCTACTCCTCTGCACTCTCCCCCAGGCAACCATCCGGGGATGCTCTCCACAGATAATTAATGAGCAAGAGAAGAAGAAAACATGGGATCCAGAAAGCAAGAAGCCAAGCACGAGGGGTGCCTGGGGGGCCCAGTAGGTTAAGCATCTGACTCTTGGTTTTGGCTCAGGTCACGATCTCAGGGTCCTGGGATTGAGCCCTGCATTGGCTCCGCACTTGGTGAGGCGTCTGCTTGGAGATTCTCTCTCTGCCCCACCCCCCTGCTCATGCACACTCATGCTCTCTCCCTCTCGCTCTAAAATAAATAAATAAATCTTAAAAAAAAAAAAAAAAAAAAAAAGCCAAGCAGGAGAATCTGTGTGGGACAGCCGGGAGGCAGGGGAACCGGTGCGGGACTGCCGGGGTGCTGGTAAAGGGGTAGTAGCCATGCAGCAGGCTGGTGACAATGTGAACCCTGGGAACCCTCACGAAGCAGCAGAAGCATGTTGTTTTTAGGAGAACTCAGGAAACAGCCGAAGAAACACCCACAGGCTTGGATGTGGCAGGCTCTGGGGCACAGAGCATGGACTTTCCACTCCAGATGTGGATAACTGATAAATGCCTTGAGATCAGACGGAGCCTCACCAGACAGCTGGAGAAATGAGTGTGGTGGTGCAGCCAGGTTTCACTGGATGCGGACAGGGAGGGGAACGCAGGTCTCCAGAGATGCAACAAACCCTTGGCTCAGCGCTAGAACCAAGGCCGTCTGCAAGCGTGCTGACCCCACCCCCAGTTCTGCAGCAGGACCACGCAGGCAGGCCCTGCTGGGAGAGCCTGGACAGTGTGCCATGTCCAGCCCAGGCTCCTGACTGCACAGACAACTTGCTTGTACTGTGTAAGTGACATACAGGTCACGTATGCAGTAACGACTCATTCTAACTCAGCTTCCAAAGAGCAGACTGCCCGCCCAACACTGGAGGAAGGTCAGGAAAGTCAGTGCTGTCCAGGATGAAAGCATCACAGCAGGAGGCAAGTGAGGGCATCAGGCCTGTGTCCAGCCCTGCTGGAAGCACACCTGCTGGATGCACGTGGAGTCCACCTGCTTGCGTCAAGGGCAAGCACACGGAGGCTGTGAGGGGAGGGGTCCTTGCCTGAGGTCACAGAGTGTACCGCAGAGCCTCCTTCATGCCCCCAGGGCCTCCCCACCATCTGTTTGTGTCCCTATGACACCCAGCTGCAAGCGGGCACAGCCCAGAGAACCGAGGCTCCTGAGCCAAGCTCCTATGCTGCACGAAAAATGTACTTCCTTAAACTGGGCATGAGACTACATGGCACGACCCGTTCCAAAACCCAGACAGAACAATGGTGGGGGAGGTCACACCACTCCCCCAGTGACACACTGTCCTCCTCAGTGTGGGGCCCAATTGGGCCAGACTGTGCGTCGTCGGTCAGCAGTTGCCAGTCTATTCATCTCTGCTGCTAAGTGCCTGCAAGAGCCCACATGCTTCCAGGGTGGGTCCCGCTCCCAAGTGCAGGGGGCTCTGGGGGCTCTACCCTCCATAGTCCCTACTTGCTGTCTCTGAAGTGACCTGTGCCTCAGTATCCTCCCCTGTGAGCTGGTACAGTGGTGGCACCACCTCACAGGTCATAGGGAAGGGGACAGGGGATGATGCACGTGCCCCAAATATGGCACTCATCACAGCAACAAGTCCATTCCAGGCACGTCAGGGTCAGGATGGGTTCTCAGAACCGGGGACCCGACTTGGGGCCCCCATCAGAGAGTCCCAGTGCCCCTCTCCCCACGCAGCCTCCGCCACCACGAAGGCCAGTCTCTACCAGGTGCTCGGTGCGGGCCTCACTGCTCCCGAGATGTGAGGTGGTGCCTCCCCTTGCACCTTCCTCTGGGGCCTGACAAGTGTCAGGGGAGAGTGCTGAGTTGGAACTGCCCCCCGACCTGGCTCCCAGCAGCCGGTGGAGGGACAGCTCCAGATGTGAGCCACACCCTAGTCGCAGCAAGACCCTGCTCTGTAAGGTGCAGAGGGCTGCAAGGAATGGGCTCTCACACTGATAGGCAACCACGACCATGGAGGCCCTCCTGCCTCACCTGTGCACAAGCTGGAGGTTCTCCTGCCTCAGCCGGCTGTGCTGCTCCCCATTGGCGGCAGTGTCCTTCTCCAGCTCTGACACCCGCTTCTCCAGGAAGACAACCTGGGGAGTGACACAATGGCTTCAGAATCAGGAGGCAAGACAGCCTGCATTCCCAGCCAACTGTTTTGGTGGCAGTGTCCACTAGGCTAGAGTTGGATCCATCTCTTTCATGGAGGAGGTGAGCATGGGGGGACGGGAGTAGGTGAGCATGTGGGGGGGACGGGGGAGGTGAGCATGGGGGGGACAGGGGGAGGTGAGCATGGGGGGGACGGGAGGAGGTGAGCAAGGGGGGATTCGGGAGGAGGTGAGCATGGGGACACGGGAGGAGGTGAGCATGGGG